CGAATTTGCTTTCCCAGCAGCTGCGAGCGATATTGAAAAGTATACATCTCCATTTAAAGAAACAGCGGTGACCCAGAAGGAAAATAACCCCGAGGGAAAACCAGCGACTGCCCTTTCCAGGTAACACGAAGTCGAACTGCACTCAGTAAAGAGATGTATTCTCACGCATTCAAACGCGATAATATTATTTATCGCGGTTTCATTGATATCAAATTCCAGAAAGCTATTAAACGTGTCCACGTCCACGTCGAAATTAAATTAATACCATTTATTCTACTAATTACATTTATTAATAATGACCAATACTATTACGTTAAATACTCGTACGTAACAGAATTGAACCAGGAGTACCAGGACCATTGTTTAACAATAATGATCATTGTTTAACGATGCTATCAGATGGTCGCATATTTTTTTATATAAATCGCATGGATGCATATAATTTCAGCGTGGAATGCTTATACTACAATGGAAACAATCTCCTGTGTCTAATAACCGGTTAATTAAACACGTGTAGCGAATATTACCAAAAGTGAACTCGACTGCGAATTACACAGTGTTGCACAAGCTCGTTATTGATATTCTGTTCTTGATATTTCCAAATGAATTTGAACTTTCATATTAAAGTTACCTCTATTTGATTCATGAACATGATTTAAAAATGGTTAAGCTCAGGAAACTAACGCGTCATCGGAGTGCTGTGACTAAGGATGATGCATCACACGTTAATAAGCAGAAAGACAAGTTCCGGAGAAGAGGAAGCTCGGTAATCACGTCACTTTGAGGAAATTATCCTTGCCTCCTGACATCACGGTGGTCTATGATTAATCAGGACTCATTTGAGAATCAAGTTTATTAATCCCCGGTGACGTGCCCCATAGCTTCCACTCTCGTTTACCAAATATACCAACACAATACCGTTTCCAGTATCTATATCCTCCGTAAATGCATACGTTTTGTTAGTTCAACATTCGCGCGATGTCTGACGTTAATTCTATCATTTCGCGTTTGTCATCGTTACGAACGGACAGATAAGCGAAGGGTAAAAAGGGGGAGACGGCAAGAGAACGAAAAATGGGGCGAATTTCTATTCGATTCTAAGAAATTATGGATTGTGCAAATAGACACCGAGCAAATACCGTCGCACTTGGTGATCGACATGCATATCTCTCTTATCGATCGCTTCCTTTTTAATTCCGACTGAATAAAAAAAATTACTGACCACTTGCAGTCACATATTTATCGGCTAACGAATCAATATAATTATTTAATTAATATTTACCTACAGAGGCAATGAATTTAAAATATGAGTGAAATGTATGACTGCTTCTACTCTTCATTAAGGATGTATTGGCTATACAGTCAATATACATACACAACAGAAATAAACAGACTAACTATAATTATGCAATTTCGAAAGAAATACAAAATGCTATTTTAAATACTTATATTGTACTGTTGAAATAACAGTTATACTTATAAAAGTAGACAATCGAAATGAGTGGAGACAGTTTAACGAGTAAGAGTACCCATAACCGAGTAGTAATTTAGTCACGATTCACGAATCCTAGTTAGTGGATGGAAATGCTGGCATCGTCCTCGGAGAAATTAATTTACATTTATCCCTCGATTACCAGCGTTGATTAAAATCGAGCTTAGCTCAGGATCCTGTCCGCTTAAAATTCGCTTCTAAACCCTTTTACTAGGAACGCCTGAAGTATTCGATCTTCTCTACCTTTCTGTTCCACCTAAGTACCCAGTCTAAATATTACTTAAGTAACGATACTGTCTCATCAAGAACACAGATATTGAAATGTGAAGTTAATTGGATGTAACCAAATTGTGAACATTCCAAAATTTGTTTACAAAAATCATACTTTATAAAAAGTTCATCCAAAGTAGTTTCGAACAAAATCGACACCATAGACTTATACTGCATAATGAAAATTTAATTTCTACATATGTGCATGCCAGTTAGGGAATCGTTCTGAGTGACTATACTACGTTTTGTCTCCAAATAAGAACTACAGATAAAAGGAGAATCGGAATTGGCCTCGAATCATGCGACTTATGGCGAGGATCGATCGAGTGCTTTCAATTAAGGGCTTTCCGCCCGGCTCGATATCGATTGCCTCTGAGGGATCGGGATTCATCAGACCCGTTGAGCAAGACAAATTCGAGATTTCCCCTGGACGACGCGACCCCGATTCCAACGTTTTTTTCCCCTTCGTTGGATTAGCCAGAGAATCGATAATCGCCTGATGTAATTCCTACCTTAAATCTAAATTTTCGCGCAATAAACAATAACGAAATTGTCTACGAGCTAAATTCGTTGAACTTTGAAATTTTCCATGATTTCATAAATAGCTTAGCTGTCAGAGTACTCAAACATGAAACGATTGCATTGAACAATTATATTCTTGAGATCAAACGAGTTGAAGTTGGACAAGGAGTGAATCACATTTGGACGATATCATTTAACCGAAAGACGGAGGGTAAGTAAGTAAGACGAATTCTGCGTGGGCGATCGTTATTCTTGGCCTCTATCGCACGTAGACACGCAATTTTCTCGTTTAAAGGACAACGAAAAATCTGCTTTCGGCATTAATAGAAGGTCCTATCGACTGCCGGGCCATCACGATAGCATTCCCAATTCCACCCCTGCCAGCAAAACAATGGATGGCGTTCACCGAACAATTTCTCATCCAAATACATTATTTAAATCCATCTCAAGAAGGAATAACGACATCGAACTATCCATAAAACCTTATCGAATAACACAAAAAAAAAGATCATCACTCAATAAAATAAAATCAATTGAAATATATTTAAATTGAACCACAAAGAATGATGAAAGTTAATACAAGTACAATGCAATACAAGAATGAGTTAGGGTTGAAAGGTACACGCGTCAGAATCATTTTCTTGGTGTAAAGAATTGACGATTGAAAAGGATCTCTGATGTCCGATCGATCCTCAGCTGTTTAATAGAAAACGTCCGTGGAGATTAACCGAGGCTCTCAACCGCGAAAACTGCTGCGCGAAATGAGAAACTGGACGCGGTGAACACATATTGGATGAACTAACAGCTGAATGGAAAGGGACTTTCAATCCGTCAAACTCTGAGAGATGAAAAGCTTCCGACATTTGATCGTTGATCGAGCTCCGGCCAGGAGGATACGCCTCAAGCGGACGTATTAAAAAAGTTTGTTGCGTTTCATTGCAACTGTGAAAGAATGGTGAACAGGATCTGGAGAACAGGAGAAGTTTAAAAAAGATTCGTAAAATTAGTTCGACTTACTTGATTCAGAAGGTCCAGTTTAATTACTCCTTAATAAAGCTCGTTTGATATTTTAATGTGAAACAATTAGAGTCTGATAATGGAGTGAATCAAAATAATAAATAATCGATGATTAATCAGTTCATTTTCAATCAAAATACAATCTCAGTAGCTGTGATTTGTCAATACTTGACGGGATTCTAATTAAAGCTTCTTCGAATACGAAGACGAAATAATCTAATAATACGTATCTTTTATTTAAGTTCAATTGTACAACAGAATGCTAGAGAGAATGATAGAACGAGTTTCAAGCGACGATCATTTTACAACTGTACATTTTTAGCAATCTTTCCATCTGTGCAATTAAAGTACGCTACACACTTCGTATTCAGACTTATTTTCAGGCGGATCATTTTTCTGCTTACGCGATTGCAAAACATGCGAGCTATTTGATGAAAGAAAAAACGGAGCAACCAAGTAAGAGTCTTGCATCGCAATTTCTATTGAAATCCAAACACAGCCGTGTTTGAATGAGACGTAGCTACTGTCAAAGCGGATCAAAGGGGAAGTATATCCCTTCGGAGCTCATTTCGACAAAAGAGATAAAAAATAGCTGCACATGTAGTATGTCATAATAACGTATTGAGATAGACAAAAACAGGACAAATTGTTTGATCAATTGTGTTCAATTGGAACATAATTCAAAGCGTTCGCTCGTTAATTGACCACGTAATTATCGAGAATTTAACAGTATAGCTTATTAAGTAATTCATTCCATTGGTAACAATCGTCACAACAAAATTTCATATTCAGTATAGCTCTGAACATAATTGATCAACATTTGTGCAATGAGTTATATGTATGCATAATATACAATTTTTACTACGTCCTGTGTAAATGATTGAACGTCGCCTTTAATTGCCCTCACTTAAAAGATAACTACTTCGATGACCTCGAAAAATTGTTTAATTAAATAGAGTGGAATAATAAATAACTCTTGAGATTATTTCCTTCAACTATTAACTTTGAAATATAAACTGAAATGTAAATTTCCTCAATTACTCAGAAAATTACAATAATTAGCAATGTGTCTAAACGTGGAAACGAAAGAGAAATATAATATATAAGCATTTTAGGATATTAATGAATCGATAAAAGACATTGGAATACAGGAAAACATTTGCTTTTTCCTTAAAACCCGATCGAGGAAGATAGACACATTCCAGTACTGTATACGTACACGCGTCATTCAAGCGATAATGTCAATCAAACAAACGCAATGGCCTTTGATACCTTATCAGAAGAATAAAAAAATAGTAAGTGCAAATTTCATGTTTTCGTAACATGAACTTCAACACGGATAAAAGAATAAAACCAGATCAGTGACGATGATCTCTTGCTAGAAGCTTCCGAAATGATAAGATCGAATCGTGTTTCAATATCAAATATCAATCTTAATATTCTTTTATTCAGAACGGTGGATAGATATCATTTTTATGACTTGTCTCCTTAAAAAAGGATAACATAGAGAGGGAGATGCAATATGTTGTATAATTTTCACTTCATTTTATATTTAAGGAAGTAAATGATTTTCGTTGATATTATTAAACCGCGACTTATAGCACTTTCGGGAGGGCAAGAACCGAACCACCTCAAAGAATTCTCACCTCCAAACTTCATACATGCAGTGTTAAGTATGATATTCGCAATTGTTACTCACCTGAACAGCAGGAATCCTAGACCAGTAACCGCGGCTCGTCGAACGTCGTCGTTAACATCAGACACCTAAACAAACATCAAATTTTACGCCATTATTCCTCTTCTCCAAATATTATTACATTCGGGTACAGTTTATTCAACATTTTTTTTTAATTCGTAGACAATTTTTCCTTTTTAAGAATCGCATTTTCTAACAGACATCGACCAGCTTTTTCGTTTAGGATACTTTCAGAAACATTGCATAATGCTTGGTAAAGTGCAACCTCGAAAGGAAGCATTGTAAAAAACGACGTTTTTCGTAGCTGAAAACTTACAGCAACGTGCAACAGCTTCCGGATGGCCTGGTTGTTTCCGGTTCCACAATAGGCCATCGCCAGCGTGTACATTCCGCTTCTGCGAAGGATCGGATCCTTGTCGGCGCAAAGGGAAGTAATCAACGGATCGGCCTCTTCCAAACGACCGTACATAGTGAACGCTATACCCACAGCCAACCCCCGAAGGATTTTCTCATGCTGCGTTTCTTGAGCATACTGGAAGAAAAAAAACAAAAAAAACACAAATGTTTATAACAAAAAGTTTTCACATAAAATATTATCAAACAATCTTAATGATTGATCTGTCTAAAGCCTTTTCTATTACCATTTTGTATAAAGATTTGTGAAAGGAGGAGAGTGCAAAAAAGATTGAAGTTTGATTTGAACTGCAGCGTTGCGCAACTTTTCGTAAAAAGTCGATATTTATTTAGGCAACGCGAAGAAGATGAAATAGCTATTCCAGATTCATGTGCCGTTTGGACAAGCATGTATATAAATTGATTCTATGAATGAGAATGAAGTTTTGGGACCATGTACGGCTTGAATCTATAACATGATCGTGTGTGTGGGTTTAGAAATTGAGTGAATTAATCAAATTAATAAGAAACCAATGAAATATGTAATATAAATAACATATATTTAGTTCTTTTTAGTAACCCTCCAGGAAGTGACTGACACCTACGTGATGATTTCTGCTTAACTGCGAAAAAGTGCACGTAAATTGGAAGTGGGGATAAAGCGAACATCTAAATGTATTACTGTTTTACGTCAGAATTAGATTACACAAAACTCGCGGAATAAATATTTATAAAAGATAAGGTAGCATTATTTTATTATCGACATTTTATTCCTAAAAGAAAATTTGAAATGTTGCTTGTCACTAATGTATTGACAGTGCAGTAGTCATGCACTTTTCCTGCAATTAGTGATTAGTTTTTCCTTACAATGTGCAATGTGTACCTTCTATTATTGTCTAATACAAATACAAAATAAGAGAATCTGTTGATCGTTAATTCATGTTTCTCTACGTAAAGGTACTTCATACCTGAACAAAAACTATCACGTAATTTTTATAAACCATTGTCTCCAGTCAATCATTAATTTATTAATTTCTTTCCATACTCCCACGCTATGGAGCAGTTTATGACATTGAAAAGAAAATGATCAAAAAGCAAAGTTACAACGTACACTAACCCTCGGGTGTACATGTTCAAGATAACAAATTCAACTTGGATAATAATATTTAGGCGATAAAACGTCGCAATTTGTCTTGTACAAATTTTCCTGTTGATATTAAGTGGATTTCGTTGTTACCCGTGGGAGAATCATTCTAAAAAGATATACGATGTCAGGTGCACTTCTTTATTTCGCGAACAAGAATCTCGCAAACGAATGGGGTAACATTATGCGCTGGGCTCTACCTGAAGATATCACAGTGCAAAGCTTGAAATGAAATCGAGGTCATCTTTGTACTTTCCTTCGTACAATAATAATGATAAAGACTTCATTTGTCGTATTTCAACGGCCACCAACCAAACTTGAAACATGGTGACTTCTGCTTTACATATTTTCTGACATCGCTAATGGTACTCTTGAATAAGAATTATTTGAAAATAATTCTTTACTATCATTACGACGAACTTTGTATCGCATGTATCAGCAATAATCTTTATGATCATGCCGCAATAAAATCTGGAACATATCTCATTCCGTAGGTAACGAAATGGGTACAATGTAATGAACATTTGGGAGAAGCTTGTTCCTCTATTACGATGATAAACCGGAGTTTCATATCGCGTGGATGATAATCTTTACTATCAAATAGGTTGTTTTATCGTGACTGTCGAAATAAGGCATTCCGAAACTGGCTTCCTACTGTAGACCCGTGAGAATAGTGATTAAAATAACATATTGAATGTGTATTAAAATTTTTCTTACTGAGACCGTATCTAAATTTGAGTATCAGAGAATATCAACAGTAGCGATCATTTCACTAACTAAGATAGCAGTCTATGAAGAAACCACTAGAAATTCTAATCTTTTAAGGTAGTAGCCCAGTAAAACAATTTTCTTACGATTTTGTTGTAATTTTGGCCAATTGTTAGTAACAACGTTATCTACCAGTAGCTAAAATTTTAAGAAGCTTAGCGGTACAGTTTGAGAGATATCAATCATTAAAGTTTTGATATTTTACCTGGGATCCCTGTGTTAGATAGAAGTTTAAAGCAACGTTTTGATGTATTACAGCTAAACGCGTCTTACCATTTTTTCAAAAAACTAATACTGATATTGAATTATATTTAAAAAATGAATTATCTCAGCGGTATCGTTTAAGAACTAGATACTTGTAAAATGCAGAACTTCGTATGAATTTGTAGCAGAAGACACGTGAGCGTAAACTTTTGAGTACTAATTACTACCTTAAATGTATTATTAGGCTGCTTAAGCAAGATAATAAACATTAAAATTGTTTTTAGGAGAAACTGACATGGAAAAATGGAAAACTCGTTGACACAACTATCGCGAAGTAATTACGGACAATTATCAGTAAACCTCCTTAAATTTCAACTTCCTACACTATGTAAAAAATTTAGGGTATTCCAAAAAATTGCATTGTCATGCCTCTGTTATTTTCTATTTTAAATATATTCTGCACTGTTCGAAAATTCTTTAAAGTTGTTTACGGTCGTTCGAACGAAGGCAGAAAATAGTCATTTGCGGAAATAAGAGACTACAAAAAGTAAAAAACGTCTGCTTGTTTTATCAGTTAATCATATAAAAGACACATGTGACATGAAGATTACTTACACCTGTTAGTTACTCAATAATTGACATAAATATGTATTATTCCTTTTATTTTATCTACGGCGCAATTATCAAATAATAATGAGCCCGTCCAACCTTAGGCGATTGATAAATAGGTCCCATCTGTTTAGAAGCGGACAAAATGATCGAAAACGAATATAAGCAAGTTACGAGCAGTGGACATAAGACAGTTCTTGTTTGTCTATCACGCAGTACATGCAGGTAGCGCTAAGACAAAAGGTGAATAGTTTTATATAATACAGATCGGAGGATTTTTCATGTTTAGTACAAGTTCATGGAGACTGACGTAGTTTGATTTGCTTTAGATGCTTTAGATAGAGTGTTTATATACATATTTAATTTTTTTTATAAACACAAAAGTTACAGCTTGTGGATCACTTGTCAAGAGTGTTCATTGATTATTATTTCTCTACAAACGAGGTGGCAATCGAGCGAGATTATTTTCCAGTGTACACGGTGCAACATCAACCATGATCGCTAAAGCATTATTCACACTATTGTGTTAGTATCAAAACGTTATTCGTTTAAAACGCAACGAGATTTATATAGTTAGTAAACGAAATTTTTGTTTGCAGTTTCCTCGGTACTGCTCACGGTGTCGAGCGCGCATCTATGGGATGCTTACGTGCACATGGTCAATTTCACTGTTCACGATGTGGAATCATTAGCATTGCCCAACGTGGACACGATTTCATTCAATCTTTATACACGGTTATAGCCACGCTTTGATATGTTTCAAAATTTCAATTCTTTCTTTCGAATCTTTGCATACTTGAAATTCTTTCTTATCGAATTTACGTCATAATTAAGAAAAGATTTTACAAAATTATTCGAGTTATTAAGAATAAAAAAGAGGCTGAAATTCTTACAAAAGCAAATTAAATGAACAACTCTGATCCCTTATTTTAGACAAAATCCTGAAAATGGTACACTTATTACATTGAACGACGCGAGGTCCGTTCAGGCGAGCTACTGGAACATGACTAAGCCAACTGCCATCCTCATTCACGGTTGGAACAGCGATGGCAGTTCAGAATTCAACACGAAAATTCGTGATGGTAAAAAATCTTTGTTCATCTTCGCGAGTATTAAACATTGATCAATTAACAGATGATTTCCTTCGCAGCTTTCTTTCAAGTTATGGACATCAATGTCATTGTGGTTGACTGGGGTAAAATAGCTCGGGATTTGGTCTACAGCACTGTAGTGTTCGACGTGCCATACGTTGCTAAACATGTAGCCGCTTTCATCGATTTCTTACGAACGAATGCGAACCTACGTTATTCCAATCTGAAAATTATTGGTCATTCTCTCGGTGCTCACGTTGCAGGCTTAGCTGCAAAATATGTGTCGTCGAACGGATTGGTCGCGGAACTTGTCGGTGAGTAATGAAGTAAAAGGAAACTGTAGTACATCAATTTAAAAAATATTAGATTTCATTTTTCAAATTGATAGACGTCTAATAAGAATTATTTTTTAAACATCATAATATGCATTCTGCTATTGATACGATGTACATATTTGTACCTAAATTTCCTATAAATACATATATAAGCCGCAATCTGACAACGACGCAGGGAATTAAATCCTCACACGAAACAGAATAATTTCCTAATACTATGTCTTCAACTACATTACGTAAAATACTATCGCTATGAATTCATGGCTTTCTAATGCAGGTCTCGACCCTGCTAAGCCCTTGTATGAAGCTCAAGGTCCAGATGGTCGAATTGACCGCTCCCAAGCACAGTACGTTGAAATTGTTCATACATGCGCTGGATTATTAGGCCTAGCAAAAAGTCTCGGTACTTCCGATTTCTATGCTAACGACGGAAGGGACCAACCAGGATGTAGCATCGATTTAACTGGTGAGAAATTCGTTAATTCTTAACGAGTTTTAAAAATACTTAAAACTTTTAATTACATAGGGGGTTGCGCGCATGAACGAAGTTACCTGTACTTCATTGAATCTATTAAAAACCCGAAAGGATTCCCAGGCATATCTGAGTCTGACAGAAGTACGGCGTATATGGGCGGTGCTACTCTCGATCTCAGGTGACCATCTTATCTCTATCCGATTAATACATTATAATTTATCATTTACTAATTTGAATTTGTTTCGTTTGCAGCGCTAAGGGTTCCTATCATTTCAATACTACCGGCACACCACCGTATACGGTCAACAATTAAGAATTCTTTACAGTACGTATAGAAATAAATGATTTCCGGCTATTAATACGTTAAGGACGGAGTCAGTTTTGCTGAGCTTTCCGTTCAAGCGGTATTAAACAATTCTTTTGACTTACCGCAACCATATCCTCTATTGCCTGGGTAGATTTGGATCCCAGCATAACCATGCCCATGGCGATGCCAGCAGCCTCGCCGGTAACAGCGTCGTCCTGATAGAGGTTGAACTTCAATTGCTCGTAAACGTCTTGCCTATGGGAGCCCATGGCAGCCAGGCCCAGCCCCAGACATCCTCCATGGCGAACCATCTGTAAACAAAAATTAGAAAAATATATTATCAAATATTTTTAAATCTTGCAAAATGATGTATCTGATTACATACCTCATTCTGTGCGTCCTTCAGCTGACCAAGCAAGTAATCAGTGATCGCTGCACCATGGTTCGCATGAATTAGTCCTAAAGCGTATAAACCGCCGCCCTCGGAATAACCAGCTCCCGCTCCGCTATCTCGCGGGAGGTAAGATTGCATTAAAGCTAAAGCTTCTTGTTCATGACCTCTGTGAATCACACCCAACGATGCTGTCGCCGTCAACTTGGCCCAGTTCGTAGCCCTGGCCAACCATTCTAGGTTGTCTCTGAAATAAATAATGTGGAAATAAGATTTAATCCTTGATGGATGTCGAACACAGTTATTTACCTTAAAAATTGATCGCTGGTAGTGCCGGAATGCATGTAAGCGTTCGCGATTACAGTGGCAGTATGACAGATGGATACACGAATAGTGTCTTTCGTATTTTTCAGAATAAGCATATCGGTATGGTTGCTGCGTATTAAAAATTGTAGATGAAGATCAATTGAAATTTCTCCGCTTAATATGCTTGACAGAGCGTCCACTCGTTCCTGCTGTTCACGTTCTTCGGCATTCTAAATAATCGGAACAAACGAATTAATAAGTAATCATCGTACCATTCGTTGTGTGAGCTAAGCGACTTACCAGACTTTCAACGCTACGTTGAGACTTATCTTCCGGAGCCGCTGTACTGGCCTCAGTTTCCGTAGTAGCAGCAGCAGCAGCAGCAGGTTCGGAATTGTTAACTTCGGTGGACGCCTTCACAGCTGGCTTCACGATCGGCTTAGCCATGAGTGCTCCTGGAATGGGAGCCGTAGCTCTGAGAGCTTGTAAGACACGACCAAGGAACTGTTGAGTTGCCGATTCGTACAGGTCAAATGCAATTTGGTAGGCCATAAGAACACAATCTTGCGAGCCTTTGCTTAATCTGTCCAGAAGCTCGGCGACGGCCAGCGGATCGTCAAGAAATATCAAGCACTGGCACATGTTGACATAGTCTGGGGTTCCCAAGTTACGATAGAGGCTCACTAAGCAGCGGAGAACCGTGTTACGAAAACCACGATTCTGAATGAGACTCATGGCGACTTGGAAGGCATAGGACAACATTCCGCTGACATCGTCCTTTAGTGAAAATAAATAAATTTCATCTTCTTCTGTTAATGAACATTGATGACATTTAAAATTATACTTACGGACTGCATGATTGCAGCTTCAAAAATATCCATTCTCCTCGTTTCAAGAGCAAGACCTAACGCTTGCCGATACTGATTGTCATCTAAACATCGCTGGAACATCCTGTTTACTATTCCTTCCAATCTTGGATCAATCCCCTTATTGCCTGGTACTAATTTCCCTTCAGCTTCCAGCACACGTTGTTGGGTATAATAATCAATACATTTGGCTGGAAGAACATTAAATTAAATATCTTACGTCCAATAAATTTCATTATGATTAATCAATAAGTATCACTGATACCTATAGTTGTGTCAACATATTCATTGCGAGCATTGACATCGAAGAGATCTCCAGCTCCAAGAGCATAAGTAAGAGAATCTTCAAAACTTCCTAAATGATAATACACTTTGCTAGCAACTAATGCTGCTAAATCTTGTTGAGGGAAACCCTTATCTTCATGAAGAATTTCACTGTAATACGAATAAATCGTGAAAGCTGAGATGAAAATGAATCTTAAACAAACAAGCATGCTACATACATTTTTTCTATGGCCTCGGAGATCTCAGGCCAGAATTCATCGACTATCATATCCAATTTTTTCAGAGCGAACACCTTCAATTCGGGCATTGGCTCCTCGAGGAGGGAAATGATACCGGCTGAAACAAAATAGTTAAAATTATTCATTTCATATACTTAAATATTACGGAAATCATAGAGTAACTTCTAACATCTGTTAATATCAAATAGAATAATATATTTGACGTTTTGGACACAGAGATGGAGGTTAAGCTTCACAGGATTTGCAAATCATTGCATATGCAGGATCAAGTGTAATACAAAAGTTTAGAAATAAATTCGCGTATCATAAAGTTCATATATGTGGTGTGTCGTTAAGATCGAAATAAATGACTTACCTGCTGACGTAATATTCATTTCGACTATTACTTTGCAGAAATTCTTTCGGTTGAAACTCCAAAAAACAGGTTGATAGCAAGCCACGAACTGGCCGCGAACTTGCCACTGATCCCACTGATCGTGACGCTGTCGTAAGAACTGCCACAATGGCGGAACGAATAATTTGAATTTACATTTGTGGCAGGACTGCAAGGATAACGGCAAGTACTTCATGCTTTTATGTCGAACTTTTGCTTACAACGCTAACCTAAGAGAATCGTATAGTTGTAAGTCCGTATCCCTGTATAAAGTGCAATTACAATCATAAATACTGTAGTGTTTTCGAAAAATGACAGAGAAAGCGAAAAGTATGAGTCACGTGAAACATATTCCGAAAGATGCCCAAGTTATAATGTCAATAATGAAGGATATGGGAATCACAGACTATGAACCAAAGGTTATAAATCAGTTGCTTGAATTCACATACCGTATGTATTTTGTATTATTCCTTTGTCTATAATCATGCATTCATTGTGAAACATGTATTCAATACGTTTTCATCATATAACTGAATCATGAAACTAAAATGATTTATAATTTGCAGGCTACGTTACTTGTATATTAGATGATAGTAGGATTTATGCGAATCATGCAAAAAAGAAGTTCATTGATTTAGACGATGTCAGATTAGCAGTCAAGATGCAATTAGAACGTACATTTACAAATCCACCACCGAGAGACGTATTACTAGATGTTGCCCGGGCAAAAAACAATATCCCACTTCCATTTGTTAAACCGAGCAATGGTCTTAGATTGCCACCAGACAGATATTGTTTAAATTCGACAAATTATAAACTTAAAAATGCCACGAAGAAAGTAATTGGGAAACCAATACATTCTTTGGTTGGAAACAACATCCAGGGTGGTCAGTCAAAAATCAAAGTAGAAGGCAATAAAACTGGCCTTTCTATAGTTAAAAAACTTGCAACAGTTGCTAGAACCCAAACCATTTCAATGCCAAAGCCTGTATTGAAATTCTCAACAGGTAAACACGTAAAGGAGTTAAAAAGTATACTCAGTGACTAATTATTGTTGATCCCGTAGATCCCTTCCGAGTTCTGCATTCCCAAACATCCATACCTTCCATTCACATTTCATTAAGAACCCAAATACGTGAGATACGATTTCTTTTAATAATAAACTCATCGTCTTCACTTTTCGTTTCTACGGACCGTTTAAATTTTTAGCTACAACAGGTGGAGGTACTGTAAAAGCGCAGGTGGCTAAGCCAAAGATACAAATTTCCTCGGGTCAAACGATGCCGCCCGTAAAAATGGAAATTGAGGATTCGATGAAAAGAAAAAGAGAAGACGACGATTACGACGTACCATAACAATAGGAAATAAGTACCAAACAAACATTCATTTTATATTTTATGTTTTTTCGTATGTAAGAATATTTTCGATTGATATAACACGAAGACTATAATTTTAATTTCATCTTCCTGTAATTAGTATTAAATTTCAAATGGAGGTGTATATTTTTTATTAAGAGAAGAACAGTTTGTAAAATATAAACAATGAACTCGATTATCCAAGTTTATATTTACTTCATACCCTTTTATCGTAAACGAAATATAACGAATCTTCTAGGTAAATCATCAAGCTTCAGTTTCAACTTATTTACAACTAAGATCTATTTGGACACATTCCATAGACATTTTATTCATCCTATTTACACGAAGTCAGACATTTTTTTTTACGGAACTTCGTATTCTTCATCCTCTTCAGCTTGATCTGGTTCCGCATCGGTTTCATCTTCAGTAGCGTATCCCGGTGTTGGAATGTCCGTCGGCTCCTCGTCCGCTTCGTCTTCAGCTTCGTAATCACCTACTTCCGCTGGTCCCCCCTCGTCCTCTTCCTCTTCCTCTTCATCCTCCTCTCTTAACTCAAGTTTCTCCTCTTCGTCTACAGGAATGCCCTCATCCTCGATTAATTCGTCCTCTTCGCCTTCATCCTCGTCTTCTTCACCCTCGTCTTCGTCGACTTCCTCGCCTTCGTCGAAAGGCGGAGGCTCCTCGGTCTCAGTTTCCTCCAGATCTTTCTTCTCTTCCTCCACCTTCTTCACATCCTCCTCTCGAACGCATTTCTTGCGATGAACCGGCAGGAAGAGTTTAAAGTCTTCCGGTAATTCGTCTTCCGAATAAAGTCTGCCGACCGCAAATATAATAAATATTAATACGACGTTTCATGCGATGATTACTCTAAACATTTTTTAAACCGATAACATAAACGATTTATTTTGCGTGAAGATCCGCAGTTTAATTCCGTACCTGTCTGCGAAATAAATGCGACGGATTCTGCAGTTCGCGTGGATCTGAATGCGCGTGGTCTCGATGTAGTTTGTCCCGTACGCTCTTCGGGTAAAGTCAGCCAAATTAAATTGGATCTGATTCCAACCACCGGATAGGCCGATCGGCATCGACGTGCAGAACGGTCGAACCCGAGTGGTGCTTTGAAAATTGCTCATTCTGAACCTCCTGTGCATGTCTTTGTCGTCGAGTATCTATCGGATCGATAACAGTACCAGTCTCTTTCCGAGATTACGCAAAAGAAACGAAAGGAAAACGGAAAAGTAAGCTCTTTTGAGAAAAGGCATTTACTGTTATCTCGAACGTGAAGTACTTCTTCATGTTCTTAATAATCATGATCAGAAAGGGAAGCTTGATGCCGAGGGCTTTTCTGGGACCACGCGGACAGAAGATGTAAGTCGTCGTTACGTTGGTCCCGGACAGTTCCAGAGCCAACGATTTTACCTCGTCGTCTGTGACTCTTCGAATGTAACCATTTTTTACCTGCTCGAAACGATACACTCTATACGATGTACAAAAGCGATGCATAGAGCCAACGGAACACCACTTCGATAATTGATTCATTAAGCATCGCTGTTTAATGAGATATTTCTAATTAATTAACGAATTGCTCACGTGCATGTCCCACAATTCCAAGGGAGATGAGCCGCAGCTGTATAAAACGGACATGAGTCCGTGCTGATATTTGTTACGGAACATAGTTCGTCCTTAATCAAGGTAAAAGGAATAATAAAAACGAGGTACAGGATCTAATTAATCACCATAGCGTAATCGCCGTATGGTTAATTCGAAGAAACGTCACATTTAAACACTTCCTATTTCTTTGTTTCACCTGTCGAGTTAAACTTGTCTTCATTTTCAATGAAATGAAAGATACCCTCAATCAATACTTATTTAATATAAAAACGCGGACTTTATTCGATCACACACGTTACAGAATTGTATATCGTAGAAGTTGATCGGCGCAATGATTCGTTATCTGTCGCGGAGAAGCTCGTTCAGGTGACGTTTCTCGTTCGCGTTTAACAAATCGGGGACAATCAATGTCTCCGGTGGCATCCCGACGCTGAACACCCGGTCGATCCTTACGCTGTCGATGGCGAACATCTGCATCATCGCGAAGTGCATGATTTCGCGGTTCAACTGACGCCTGATCTGCCTCCTGGTCCTCTGCACGCGTCGCCGGCATACCACGTAGCTTTCAACAGATTTAACATTTCGTGTCACAAAGTGTGCATCGGATGGAAACGATAGATTCACTTCAAAATAGAAACGAAACAAGCTGGCGAGCATCCTTCAGGAGAAATTATAGACCGTCGATTTTTATGCAAAATAAAATGTTTGCTTCCAAACACGGTTTGCCTTTCAAGCATAATGTAATATTGTGTACCTTTCAAATTAGATTTTTTATAATTCCTGCATAATTTTGAATGGACGAAACCCGCAGTCCAGTTACGAATTTAATTTATTCAAGAAATATCGTGTATGTTTGTAGCAAAATTAAAAAGGAAAAGTTGCAAGAAATGATTTTTTAAATCTGTGAATATTGTTCTTACTCAAGAAATATCGTGTATGTTTGTAGCAAAATTAAAAAGGGAAAGTTGCAAGAAATGATTTTTTTAATCTGTGAATATTGTTCTTACTAGGGTAAGTTTTTAAGGGTAGTGTAACTCGGATGTATGGAAACGTCGCTTCTATACAATTCCGGGTACATTCTCATGTGTTTCGTGATATATCTTCTAGCACGTGGTTTCATCCCCGAATCTTCTTCCTTCGCCTCGGTTCCATCTTCTTCTTTCGATTCAGTCTCCTTCTCAGATTCCTTCACATCTATAATCTTCTCGTGAGGCATCGTGCGGCTGCGAACAATTTTTAAATCCCGTGTCCCAGTTTTAATTAGCAAATTAAATTAAAATAATTTGATATCGAAAAATGAATCTAACCCGAAGCGATGATGATTGAATCAAAATAATATTTTCCGAAGTATTTAAAGTACAAATTGGTTTTAGAAAATGTTTTAATCAATCCGATTATTGTATTGGAAGTCGCGCGGAACGGAACGAGAATTTTGAAGTGAGGAGCGTAGTGGCCGCGATAAACGTGGAACTGAAACTGGAGAATTTTTCGATGGTCGATTAGGCCGTCGTGATTGAAACGGCGAGTCTTGGCTCGTCTATTCCTTAATCCAACTGAAAGTTGGCCGATCCGTAACGAAGTGAGCCCCTGTGCCTCGTACGGATATCGATTTCGGTCTCCAGGCGAATCAATAGAGATTCGGTTCATTCTTATTCAAATGCGTTCCACTGCACCCATAATACGCGTCCGGATCACTGAATTTCCCGCCCATTTATCCACGCTAATTAGCCGGCTGCTAGATGATTACGCGGTAATCTCAGGAATTTGCGTGCGCGGCATGAAACGACTTCAACGAGACCGATACATGCCACGCATTCCGATCGTTCGTGACGGTATCCGTTTGCTGTAATAAATTTTATTTCTTTGAAACACGACAGTCAGATATGTTAAATCATTATTCATGATTAGGCCCTGGAGTCTAATGCGAAATAAAAAATTTGTCCGTATCAGTTTCGATGTTATGTAATATTAATATCCATGTACATTGGATGTAATAAATTTTTTTTACATTTCTTGCAAATACCGCTTTTGATGAATGCATAAATTCTATTTGTGATTGAACTGGATTTCTTTATTGGAAGTCGAATATAAAATCGTGGATTTTATTAGATTATATTGAGCAGCAACTATCTCTATAGTTATATCAAGTTAGACGTCTCTACAGATGGGGATGAATGTAAGGCACTTAAAGAATAACTCGCTTTCTGATTGTGTAACATCGTTAAATTGCCCAGGGCTTCGCTATCTTGCAGAATAATTCAGAATAATAAATTGAAACGATAAAATGAATTTAACGGGGAAAAACGATAAAATAATATTTAAATTTAATTAATTTGAAATATAATTTTCATCAATGTGTACTTCAATAATCTGTACACATACACTGGGGAAAATGAAATTTTCAAAGCATCGATGAACGGAAGCAGACAACGCGTTTTAATTAACGGGCATAAATACAAGCTTCATTGAAGAGCTTCGTATCGCGTGCTATTGTTCCACGAAATAGACACGTGGCACGATATTTTACCGAAGGACTCTATCGGGATCACAGGAGGGGGGATCAGATTGTTTCGCAGCATGCGGTTTCGTGTTCCAGATGAAAATTCAGTTACAATTGCGTTACCAACAATTTCGTTAGATTGATTAAACGTGAAGGCTATTAGGCAATCATGCAAACCGATCGATGATCGTGTGAAGCATATCGGTATCCGGCAAACGAACTCTCTTACCTTTGCCCTATTCCCGGCCGTCCGTCGTCTTATTTGCCCAACAATATTGTTAGTAACGAAGTTACGAACCGGGCTCGTGTGTAATTGCCTCGATGGCAATTCACGTGCGCCAGGCTACACTTGAATTAATTAAGTGCCCTGGCGTCCGTAATTGCCAGTCAAAATACGAAATTGGAAAATCAATACAGTTTTTAGAAGCAAACGTTTAATGAAATATTAATATGTATTTAAGAAGAATTAAACATTATGACGATTATTAAAATTTCTCATTGGAATCTTTATTTTTGATAGCAAATCGTAACATTTATTCTACGTAGAAGATTCCTAACAATGAAATGTATTATATAAATGTAGTATGTATTATGCATTAAACATTATATAATATCATGATACCTTCTTCTTCATTTCTAAATGTAATTGTAATGTAAATATAAAAAGAATATTGCAATCTCAATAAGTCTGTAAACTTGCAAATGCGAAAGTAAACCATGCAAGAATATCTTTACACTCATTGCACTAGAGATTAAGGGCAGAGAGCATCCACCGATTTGAAATCTGGGAGACGAGTCGGTGCAGACGCGTGCACCGTTTGCAACGAATAGACGTCGGTGTCCAACAGAACAGGCGCCGGTACAGGCCACAAACAACCATGCTCGAACTTATTGATATTTTCTGGGTGGTAGGGTACGAGAGTAGAACGTAGAGAGGCACAAGAGGGTGCGCCGGAGGGTGTCACGCCCGCATGCTCAACGTGCAGTCTCCGCGTATACAGCTGATCGCGAGTTTCCTACATTTTCGCACCAACAATCACATGTCGAACGACCCGTTTACACCGTTGATGTTGAATGAAACTCGATTTTGATTCGGTGAATTGATTTTTCAAACGTGTATTAGAGAGAAAATCTGCGATGCCGCGGTGAGAGGGTGGAATTTCTTTCGAAGTCTCGGTACAACCACCGCCTAACTTTTTTGTATCCGTTCACCTGCATTCGCTGAATAGTTCATTCTACGCTCGTGGTATGTGTCTGTGAGAAGATTGTTGAAAAACCGAGAGAAATCAGGAATGCGGCGTGTCAGTCTCGTCGACCTTTGATCCCTGTCCGATGTCATTGGACGTCGAAGGACGTCGTTCTACGGGGCCAATCTTGTGTAGCATAGTTGGCTTTCTATAAACCATCCATTGCCCTATAATGACTAACGAAACGTCCAAGAGACCGTACAGGTGCGTTTTGCCTCAGTTTGTTCGATTCAGAGCTTTTCTTCTGAGATAGGCGCCGAAGCTGATTCACTGAGAAGCACCTGAAAAGCCGTCTTGACGATCTCATTAAACGTCCGACGGTTGAGCCACCGAACGATGCAATTTTATAGATTATTACAAATTGGAGCTTTACACAATTTTGATCGATTCGTACTTTCTTTTTTAATAAATATTCATTGAGTATAAATTTATTGACCATAACGTAGGCGATGCAATTGATGACTGTGGTTACGGGCTGATATATTGATTTCGATTAGTATTGTTGCCAAAACAATTCGTTTATAGGGCAATCGATTGCCTTTTGCGCAATAGTCTGCCGATATATATATTTTCATTTTCAAGATTTAGTAACACGCGACGCGTTTCATTAGTCAGTAATAAGAAATTAAATAATAATATATAAAGAAACTGAACGAAGTATTTATAAAATTATTATTATTAAAGAACAACGTTACCAGTTCCGGGGCACTCGGAAGTAAATCTGTGCTCGGTATTGTCACTGGGCAAAGATCTCAGTAAAATCACCATGCCGGTCATCTTCAACGAACCGCTTTCCTTCCTCCAACGCGTCGCCGAATACATGGAATACGCTAAATTGCTTAAACAAGCATCTGAGCAAGAAACCCCTATCGGCAGGTTACAGGTGAAGTCTTCAATGTTTCAACCTTCGAATCATTAACCGTGTTTTATCATTAATTTCTTTCTTCCGGGTTATACGCGAACACTTTCATTGTATCTGTAAAACAAAAAACGATGTAGACAGAAAACGTTTTAGACGCTAATGGTTTATCTAATATTGCAGTACGTAGCTGCTTTTGCTGTAAGTGCCCTGGCTTCCAACTGGGAAAGGCTGGGCAAGCCTTTCAATCCGATACTTGGCGAGACGTACGAACTGGAGCGCGAGGACTTCCGGTAAATAATGGCACACGTAGACAACCCATTAACGACTTTTCGTTATACCTTTAATTGTACTTTCAAATCATTTGCATAAATATTATAATAGAAATTAATACAACATTCTATATAACGATTGTTGTAACGCTTAATGCAATATTCGATACAATAATTCATATAATGATTGATACAGTAATATTTAGAGTTTGATGTAGTCAGAAAATCACGACACTGTCATTTTAGAATAGTCTGCGAGCAAGTGTCGCACCATCCGCCCGTGTCCGCGTTCCACGCGGACAGCAAGGACTTCGTGTTCCACGGCAGTATACGCCCGAAATTGAAATTCTGGGGCAAGTCGATAGAGATACATCCGAAAGGCATTGTCACTGTCGAATTATTAAAGTGAGTAGACAACGCAGTGCTTGTGTCGCGTTTTCCCCAAACTTTTCCAACAACGCAGTAACATCGGATATTAGGCAAGAACTCTAAAAGAAGAAAATGGAAATAGAACAATTCATGATGTTACATATATTATCGTGTCTGCAGCAGCATTTTGATGATTGAATTCTTGTGTGCTTATGCATTTGATCGTAAACTTCTTGCCAGAGGTAGAAGTACATCACTGTACTTATACTAGTATGGTAATCAAGTTCTTCCAACTCCTAGAAAATTACTTCTGATATAATGACCTGTCAAAAATGTAAATTTAATGTTGCCGAGCCTTCGCAATGTAGATCATTCCGCGATAATGAATGCGTGCTATTTCTGCGTGGCACCTGATAAAGCGGCTTGACGCGGCAACGAACTTTAATGCAACCGTACGTTCCGATGCATTCAGATGGAAGGAGGCGTACACTTGGCAGAACATCAACTGCATACTCCATAATGTGCTCGTGGGCCAATTATGGATGGAGCAGCTCGGCTCCCTGGAGATCAAACAAAGCGGCGGAGCGAACCTGAAGGCGACCCTGTCTTTCAAGAGCGGCAGCTGCAACGGGAAGGACCTTCACCGCGTCGAAGGCTTCATAACGGATCAAGAGTAAGCTGGTAACAGTTTATCATCACTCTTGAACTCGTAACAGTCGTATCGCGAACGGAATTCCATGCAGAAACAATACAAATATTATTAATTAATTGAAAGCGTTTCGCATGTTTTTTTATTGAAGAAGTACGTCGTGCTTTTTTATAAATATTCGTGAGACATTTGCAAATTCAGAAATTCTGTGTATAATTAACGTTGCCATAACTCTTACTAATTAAAAGTATCATGCAAAGTTGTCGTTGAAAAGTTTTTGTTGTTTGAAGAGGTCGAAGGGGCATAGAATTGCATACAGAAAGAGTGCACATATAGTTAATGGTTGTTGTTTAATTAAAGTGTTGCGAACGATTTATTTCTCGTTTAGGAAGAAGAAGCTATTGTTTCTTTATGGAAAATGGACTGAGAGGTTGAAGGTGTGCGAACCTTCGCTCTACGAGGATGCATTGGAAAGGGTGAGGCGCGAGGCGAAGAGTCCTCAAGGTAGCCCTGGGCACAAGAAGGTTCTTGCGAGACTTCACAGTCTTAAAGTTGGAGCTTTTAAGCCTTCCCATCAGGTATTTGATTTTTATTAAAATTTATTACTGCGTAACGTTTCGTTATGGTAACACAAAATTTAAAAATCGAAGTTTGTTTTAAAATTGCACATTTTTTTACGCAAAAGAACTACAAGCAAGAGTTTTATCATTTATTTCAATAATTTTATGATGTAATACGATTCACGCACAAGAGTTACCTTTGAATCTCGTTACATAAGGAAGACAGGATGAATGTCAGGAGTTAATATGAAGTTTTTATCAATAGGGCACAGCTAAAAGAAGGAATGACATTTTTAACGATATTAAAAGTAGCCGTAGAATGCAAGTTGCCGTGTTTCTTTCGTTAGAGTCTCTCATTGTTTGCTTTCCATTCATCCCCTTGTATCCCCAGCTTTCAGCAGATAGTTGAAAAATCAATATAAAACTTTTCATAGTTCTATTTATAATCTACCTTCATTCATTAACGTTCAAAAACTTTAACGAGTTTATAACAAAATTTCATCACGAAAGGATTAAAAAGAAGATTGTTTATAAAGTTAAAAGTTATATCGTCTTTCTCTTTTAAAAGTAATTTTAATATTGGAGCAACTGTCGATTAAAATTTTTCAAGAAATCTTTTGTTTTATTATTCGAGGACACGATTGATGATCCATCGGCAAGTATAGACGGAGAGGATACTCCACTGATTGAAGACATTCCCGGATCGATCACTCTTTGGGAAGTTGTGCCCAGGCCGCCAAACAGTGCAGAGGTAAGCAAAGGATTCACATTACGTCTAATAACATTAATTAGTACATTAATGTTTTGCTGATTGATTTTCAGTATTATCAATTTACAACGTTCGCCATGTCTTTAAACGAGATAACGCCGGAGATGGAAAAATCGTTGTGCCCGACAGATTCGAGGCTGAGGCCGGATATCAGAAAATTGGAGAACGGCGACCAGGACGGAGCAGCGGCTGAGAAAGGCAGGCTCGAAGAGAAGCAACGGGAGACGCGCAAAGATCGGAAGCACAAGAAAGGCGATGAATGGACACCCAGGTAAAATTTAATCCATTATACATTTTATATATTCTAAACTAAGTATCTAGACACCGTTATCCTTCAATTTTATTGTTAAAGTGAAATGCATTTGTGAGAACGTTTCTTATTGAAGAATTTTTCAAGTACAATTTTAATGATCATTATATGAATTTCTCTAGTACATAATAAAAATTGAAAGCATTCCTAGTTAGTGAAAGTGTATCGTTAATATGTGAAAATGTAACGTGATTTGAGTAGATTGTGCTTCAAATGCATGCATGCAAGCATATTTGTAATACAGCTGTGCTCCTTGAAGATAACAGACAATATCGATTATCTGACATGGAAATGTGTACCACAGGTGGTTCCAATTAGGCACGAATCCCTACACGGATCAAATGGATTGGTTTTACGCTGGGGGCTATTGGGACCGCAACTACAGCAACATGGATATGGAGGATATATTTTAATGAACGTAGAGATCTTTAACCGAGCGAAATAATTAACAAAGAATAAGGATGGCGATTTTTCGTACAAATTGTAGGGAATTAAACTTGTCGCTCTAGTGTTATCGAGGTTCTTTATCGATTCACTGTTTTCGTAGCGAGCCAGAAAGATCTGATTATTACAGAGAGCAGAATGAAAAGCGTGGGAGGTATCCGAGCAAACAGGCTGTTTAGTTTGTCGCGAATAGATATTTCTGGATAGAGAGAACAGGAGGGGAGAGAAGAAGCTTTCGTTTCGGTAACGTGCAAGTACCATTGTGTTCCATTGAGCCGGTGCCAGCTTCCGATCGATCAACGGGACAAGAAGAGATATCGTTGGTGTCTAAAGAGAGCAAAACTTTTGTACAACGCCCAGCTTTACACGATGTACACACAATAGGCAAGATGGTGTCAATATGGAATACGTTTGCGTTGATCAAAGTCTTATAGTTTCTTTCTCTACAGAAAAGAATCAGTAAAAACTATCTGAAATAATTGATTTTTTATTGACATTATAAGAAAGCTTGCAAAAATGACAAAATGGTATTCCATATTGTTGTCACTTGTTCTACTTCAAACACGTCCTACTAATATGTTTATCTACAAATGCTACCAGTACTGAAGAAATTTCCATTCGTGCTGAATTAAGAAATTATTGATAAACGATCAATTACTAAAGTACGAGTCAAACGAGCAAGCTTACGCTTGATAGAAAAATTCCGTGTGCAGATTGTGCGTAGTTCTCTCTTTTTTTTTTTTAGATAAACGAACATTTGTAGATGTACCAATAAACGGCTAGAGATCGATGTCTACAAAACTGAAATCCCGTGCGTTATGACAATTTTCATGGCACGAGGATGGACGCGCCAGGTCCGTCTACTCTACTGTTAGCATGTACATACATACATACATAAACGATCGCTGCACATTTTTTACACACAGAAAAACGCAGAATGTAACTGGTTGCTGTTCGTAATTATTTGAGTGATGAATCGAATCAATGCACTTGTCAATAGATGATCCTTCAATAAATGATATCGATATCGTTCGAATAATTATGATCTGTAATTACCTTAAACACACTAACTGTTTGATGAACGTCACTGTTCGATTGATTTGTAATGCAGAGTCGAAAGATTGCATCCTTCTCTCACGTTCGTTTTTACATAATCGCCAGATCAATTTTAACACTATTTTTATAACAAAGATAAGAAAGGGGATAAAAATAAAGAGGAACTCGAGCCGAGTCTGGTTTCTCTGTAGCTTGACTAAACAGTAGGTTTCTGTTCAGTGACTGTACTATACGTATACACTTGTACTTTTAGGTATTCCGTCGCGAATTTTACGCACGGAGCGGCGAAAAACGAACGGGTGATCGCCCGGACAGTTTAGCTCAAATATAGTTAGCTGAAATATTTGGGAAGCTTAGTAATCGCGCATCGAACGAGTAATCAAATAACCGTTGATGTATTTTCATAAGCTTATTGAGTGTTACTTGTAGGGTTCCGAGTTCAGGAGTCTCTAGAGACGGACTTACATTTGACCTGCCCATCTTAGCTCGATTGTTCCATATACTACCCCTAGCAAAATGTTCTTGATCAATCATGATACATAGTATGAATAAAATAAAACATAAACGAAGCACGATAACTTTCAATGGGCACTGCACGTGTAATAAAATATATAAAACAATAAATTGTTCTGCTATTTTTATTTTTTAAAAATTCTATAGTTAATACTACTGCATTGATCGAAAACTTCCTGCCAGGGGTAGTAGCTCTGTCGACGATATTACTGGACTGCGGACTTTTATGCAGAACAAAATGTTTGTATTGTCAATTTACACAGTAATTTCATTTGTACTTCAAAAATTGTGACATGCACTTCACATTCGATATTTTGTATTACCCTTAGGTTTTCTTATATTTATTACAAATGCAATTTTTCTATAAATGCGTCAAATCCGCAGCCTAGATACTGAAAACCAATAGAAAATGCAGAAAGTGATTAAAATGAAGAACTTGATCTGTTCCATAAAGGATGATATTGTAAGATTAGAATACACGAGGTTTCAATCTTGAAAATGGATGTTTCGTTAGGTGGAGCATAAGCTAAGAAGACCGTTACAGCTAGTGGCAATTAGTTTGTCAAGTAGGGTAGACAGCTTACGATTCCACAAGCCTATAGAGACAATATAGGAAGTTCAGTATATGTATTTGATACTCAACGGTGCCAATGCAGATTAAATACTAAATGCTCTTTCATGTAACATATTGTCGTACACATACATACGAATACATATATTCACACATTTCTCTGCCGATTTCACTCGTAATTATCTCCTAATAGTTTCTAATTAGTTCGGTTTATTGATAGCACGTAAGTATCGTCCGACCGTGTTAGCGATCGCAGTTAATTATTAATGATTCGTCTAACAAACGGAGCTATGTGGACAGTAGGCCAGTAAAATACACGTTCATCGCTCCCAGGAAGCTGACATTCGATTTAATAATTAGATCGTTTATCATTTGTGTGTTACTTCGTAGTAAATGCGAGCCTCTTTGGCCGAATATTCGATAGATGTATAGTAGAAGTGTATTTCACGAATCATTTAATAT